AGTTTAACGTATATATCAAAAATTAACAAATTGTTATAGAATAACTGAAAAGGAACAACAATAGAATAAAGAAAAAGAATATGTAATTCTCATTAATCATAATTTTTTTTATATGAATGAGTTACAAGTAGATAACTATGAGATATTTCATTTATAATATAACTTTGATATATCTATCTCTATTGTCATATCCTTTAGGGGTGCTCAAAAATCCGATCGACCCAATCTAACGCGAAATAATTCAGCCTGAAGCAACCCGATATCTAATTGAGTTGTAAAAATTTTAAACCGTAGGTATTATGTTACTATTATTTGAACTTAACCTAACCCGATGAACCCGAAATTCTTTTATTTATTGGATTTAATATGATTGTTGAATTTCTATCATTATATACATTAGACAGTTACATTATCGTGTACGCTCTTCATATACACATATTTTCAGTCTATTCACATTGAGAAAATTAACTGAATGTGATGTACGTAATAAGTATAAATAAGTTGTATTAAATAGTTGATGATGAAAAAGAATTATAAGTAGAAAAAAAAAACATATTAAATGTTAGAAAAATATTTTAATGTACCAAATTATCAACCCGACCAACCCGTACGAGTTGGATTGAGTTAGGTTGCACTTTGGTTTGGGTTGGACTAAGTTAAGATTTTTCAAACCACAAGCATTTGGTTGAATTGTTCAAATGTCTTCAGTCCAATCAATCTAACCCATGAGCACCCCTACTGTTTTTTAGACGATAACACACTTATTTTACAACACAAATTATATTTTATTTTTATGTGAATTTTGTTTTAAAAATATGTGAAAATAGCTTATGACATACTATTTAAATTTTATTGTGTAGGTTTGTTGAATTTCCCGCCCTAGCATTATTTACATATTTAATGCTCAATCAATTTTGTCTTTGTCAATTTATTTTGGGTGGACTAAATGCACTCTTATCCATAAATTTCTTCCTCACACACATCAACATCAATACATGCTTTTTATATTCTCAATGCTTGAATGACCTGATTCTGACATGAAAGGAGGTGCCATTAGCACTCCCCTTTATTTTTTATTATTTATATATATAAAAAAATTTGACTATTGGCTACCGGATCAGGCTCACGTATAACCCGCATCTTAAAAACCACATATAATGAGACATTTTTGGGTTGACTTAGCGGTTGAGACTAGCAGAAGGGTTTAAGTCAACCTTTTACATGTTTCGAACTTGAACATGTTATGTATTTGAATATTAAACTGTATGTAAAGAAAAAAAATGATAATAGAACAATGAAGCACGGAAAATACGACTGTACTGAAATTGAAATATTATAAGGTATTTGGTTAGAGGTATTAGGCAGTAATCAATGAGAACGAAAATAAAAGAAACGGTTTGGTTTTATATAATGTAATGGACTCATTCCTCAAGAAGCCCAAATTTTGATTTTAGTTTAACTGGGAGAATGTAAATTTATTCTCACTTTCATTCTCTGTCATTTTCATTTTCATTCATCTGACTAAACCAAACACCCCTCAAATATCATAGTATTGTATATAGTGGTAAATTAAGTGTTAATTATGTACTTAGGAGCTGTTTGTTTTTAATAAAAAAACTCTTAATGTCCTCTTAAGTCTGAATCGGTCAGACATAAGAGGATTCAGTATGTTTGTTGTTTTTTTTTTCAATTAAGAGCTTAAAAGCTCTTATTAGGTCTGAAAATTTAAGTGGTTGCGAAACCAATTATTACCTCTTATTTCAAATCGTCGCCTACCTACTCTGATCTCTTTGCGCTTGATTTCTCTAGATCAACTATTCTGTCTCGATCTCTCATCTCTCAACTTTGTCAACTGTCGATCCATATCAACTCTCGATCTCTCGTCTTCAAACTTCAGATTTCAGACGCAAAAAACAAACAGTCTGACTGATTCAGATTTCAGACTTCAGCACAACCTCTTAAAAATCAGAAGTGAATTCAGATTTCAGACTTCAGACAACCTCTTAAAAATCAGAAGTGAATTCAGACTTCAGACTTCAGTACCTCTTAAAAAACAAACGCCCCCTTAATTTTGTTTGTGACGTGTAGTCTGACTGACTCAAATGATAATGAGATGTTTGCATAGAAGTTACGAGTATAAATGTTGGTGCAACCTTGAGGGAAAGGTTGTAATGATTGTAAAATTAATGTTTTTCAAAATTTTAACTAATTCAAATAAGGGGTTTTCACCAAAATGACTAAAATATACCTAATGTATTAACAAAAAATCATTTTTTTTTCATGTTTTACCAAAATAACCACATTGATTGCCCTTGGGGACGATTTGACCATAAGGGGGCGATCCAATCTCTTTGACCCAAAAAAATATATATAAAATATTTTAAATTAATTTGTGGGGCCCACATGTATCTGATTTGTTGAACCAAATATCTGATTTGTCTTAAATAGTGGATCGTCCCACCTACCCCAAGATCTTCCCTCGGGGGCGATTTGGCTTCAAACTTTGACTACTATTTTGTTTTTTAATGAGGAAATCGATTTGACAATTAAAGGGTGTTTTTCAATAAATGTGGGACGATTTTGACTGTTTTAAGACCAGATGTTGTGGTTTTACTCTATAAAATCAAACACTTCTATTTTTACAACTCATAATTGTTAAACACAACCTACCATCACAACTCTTAACACAATATAAAACCACGTCAAACTTTATAATTTTCACTAGTTTTTTTTTTAAACGTATGAATGAACCAACGACTGTTTTTATATTTTCTTATAAAAATTATATTTTTTACTGAATGTTAATATTGTTTAATAATTGTTAATACGAAAAAAAATATTTGTACCTAATAAGATGTTTTCGAACCCGACCCGAAAGTTTCGGTTTTCATCATCAGTTTCGGGTTTTATTGCCATCTCTAAAATTGGGTATGTTTTTCAATCATGCAATATCTTATGAACTAATGGTTGTTTATCAAATGCTTATTCGGGTAAGTGAACACCAAGCCACGTTACCTTATCGGATGAATATAGTAAGGACCAAGAATCTTATCCGGTAAGAATGACACAAGGACCAAGAGTTTTACCCGGTAAGTGAAGACGATGACTCTTACCACGGTAAGCGCTTACCGGGTAAATTGTTGCATATGATACCGTTTTGGTGGACTAAAATCTTACTTGGTAAGTAAATGATAGTGTTAAATTTTACTGGTAAGTGCTTACCAGGTAAGTGTTTGATAAACGGCCCCTAAATCAGCTTCATTTAAGTTTAATTTTGCCATTCAGTTTTTTTGTCGATTCCTCAAAAAGTATGATCATTTTACATACAAAGTACCATTTTTTCTAAACTTAAGACTATATGTATCATACGATATAATTACATTCATTTTGCATTGGTACGATAGTGAAATATGTCAGATGTTAGGTTTAATAAATTTCAGTATTTGTAAATTCAATCAGGATTGCTACAAACCACAACTGTAATCCATAGAATTGAAGCTTAAAAACGTGTCATATTAAACAAAAATTGCATATTTATAGTTGCATCGATGTATACCAACAACTTATATGTATGTTTTCGATCTTTCAGATTGTTTTTAATGTTTTTTTTAAATGGAATAAGAAACGTAATATTTAAATTACACGTGAAATAATTAATACTGAATAAACGTGACAAAAAAAAAAAAAAAACGAAAATGACAGAGTTTTGTTTTTGGAAAATCGAAAACATAAGAATTGTTTTTTTTAATCTCTATCAAAACCTTCTATTATTATGATTTTGTTGTGATAAAAAAAATAGTAATCATATTTCTTGCTATTCTAAAACCAGACTTGGGATCATGTGAGATAAGTCTATTTTTGTGTGACTCGATATTTACACTTGAAACTTAATAGCAAAACACTGTGAATGTAACATTCACAATGTTTTTGCAGTGAAAAATCGGGTTTTTCTTACCTTCACAAACCATAGCTTCACAACATTTTGTTGTGAAGCTTTAAGTGTAAACATCGTTTCTCACATGTCTCACGAAAACAGTCTTATCTCACGTGAACCCAACCCTCTAAAACCATATATCAATATTATAAAACATTTGACAAAAATTTTAAAAACTATTTTTTATACATAAAGTACGTTTACCAAGTCACATTACCTTACCAAAATGAATATGACAAGGACTAATGATATTACCCGTAAATAATGAAAGCATGAACCGAGAGTCTTACCCGATAAATGAGAGTGACAACTCTTACCATAGTTAACGATTACCGGGTAAATTGTTGTATACAATACTGTTTTGATGGATTAAAATCTTATCCGATAAATAAGTGATATTATTAAATTTTGCCGATAAATATTTGGTAAACGAACTATTAGTGTTTTTAAGTGCTTTTTTGAAGATGATCTTTTGTAAGTGGACATAATTTTTTGGGCAAATTGCATGAAAAAATAACGTACTTTAACTTGATTCCTATTTTGGGTAACGTACTTTCAAAACTTACATTTTGGTATCTAAGATGTAAAGTTTTAAACATTTAAGTACCTGAGTAACACTGTTGAAGCATTAACCAGTTATCATGCTGATGTGGCGAGTGATGTGGTATCAAACTCAATATTATTTGCTGACGTGGATAGTGACATGTTTTTTTTAAATCTAAAATTAGTCTTTTTTTTAATCTAAAATTAGTCTTCAACCGGTTATCCGGGCAATTAAATGTTTAAAACTTTACATCTTAGGTATCAAAATGAAAATTTTGAAAGTACGTTACCCAAGATAGGAATCAAGTTAAAGTATGTTATTTTTTCATGCAATTTGCCCTAATATTTCACTAAATATGACATTTCAGAACATAATTTTGTAATTATGTCCAGCCCAAAAAAGCCAGCCCAACCCAATAAACAGTGATACGGAATGCGGGCCGGGTTCGGTTCACACCGGAGGACCATTTATTAAAAGGGTATCAAATTCCAAAACCCTAAACCTCATCCCGTGCGATTTTTTATCAAATCGATATAGTTCTTCAATTGGAGTTGTATAACGATGTCGATTGTTGTTGAAAAGTCTGACATGGAAGAATCAAAGAACGAAATCGGTGATCAAGAAGAAGTATTGGAAGATGAAGAAGACATTTCATGGTCATCGGATTCTGAAATTGGAGAAGCTTTGGATTATTTGGATTCCAAAGACGATACAGGAGCAGTTGATGGAGCTCTTATACTGAACGCAAGACGGCCAAATGCTCATGGAGGAATCCGTTCTCGTCCTAATGCGTCTCCTCTTCAACCGCTCTCGAATCGGAACCAGAAATTTACTAATCATATTAGAGCGTCGCCTTTAGAGGTATATTTGATTTGGGAATTGGTGGTTTACTCTTTATTCACGACCAATTGTACCCGTTCATTAAGGCGGAAGCCATGAATGTTAACGATTTTGAAGTTTTATTAGAGAAGATTCAAAGATGATATAAGTTACACCAGTCTTTGCATATTAATACAATTTTAATAAATAATAGTTATGGTTCCGAATACAGTCTATTGATAAAAAAAATTGTATGAAAGTTTAAAATCCAGTATATTTAAAATTCAACATAATTAAACGCCTCCACAAATGTGTTCACATTACAACAAGAACAAAGAATCAAGAAAGCGAGACCGAGAGTTTTAGAGCAATTGAATAGGAGAACTTTTAATAACTCATGGTGAATATCAATTTGAATCTCACGAAGAGGTATAAGAGGGTGAAGGTATGAGTGAAAGATGTCAAAAACATTTTGGAACATGAAAAGAAAAGGTGATAATGTGCTTTGGTAACTTGTATTATATGTTATTTTAATTGTAGATTAAGAGATTTTAAGATTGAATGCCAATAAGTAGTAGTACTTAATGCATTATGAGTTGTTTTTAAGACTTTGTGCATAAATGTATAATACTTTGTGTATTAAAAATTGTTTTTAAGACTTTTGATAAATCTGGTTTATAAGGTAGGATAGATTGCAGTTGATGAAGCTACCCTTGATGTGATCTTAACAGTGTGGAATTGCCCGTGTATTAAGTTTTTTGACATTTTTGAGGACTTTATTGCTGTCACAGGAGTGGGAAGGAAGGTGGAATGCTGGCATGTCAAACTCCGTCACCACTGCAATCCGTGAAAGCGTGCGTGGGATGGCTATTGGCAAGACTAAAACTACTGAAAAAGCTGACCGAGCAACTGTTGAACAGGTGAATGATAATATTTAGAGCATCTCCGACTGTTTGACTTATAAGAACCTCCTTTTAGTAATTAAGTTCAAGAAGTCTCTCCAATGGTGATTCTTATAAGTCAATACACTTTTTACTTATAGAAACCTCCCATTGGAGATGCTCTTACTGTTGCAAATTTCTTTCTTCTTGTGAAACAAGTGCTGGATTGTCTAATTCTTGAACACCTGGTTGGAAAGAGTAAGTTATGCTTAAATGTGAAGACTATTAAATTTCGTGCTGATGCACTTTAGGCTGCTTTTAGCTTTTGTGCTATACCCTACGCTCCATAGAACACTTCAACTTGTAGTCTTTTTAATTAGAGAGCGCGCCAGAGCAATATTATTTACTTCCTCTTGGACTGAAACTGATCTGATGGTGTTAATGTTTAGAAGAAAAATAAAACAACTGCTCTTCTATACCTTACAGATAGCATTCCAAATTGTACCTTAACCCATTATACACACATAACTGGGACATGACAACTTGTAACATTAAACTACTACCATGAAATGTACATGGAATGTCGCTCTCTTGTGATGTGGCATCGATTTCATGATATGATTTATACTTTCCTATGGGACCATGTTGTTTCTTTTTCTTCTTTTCTTATCCTATTCATATATGCAAGATTGTTATTTTTCTCAAGAAACGTACTTTTCTCCTACCCAAAAGACAAATCCCAGAAGGAGCACAATGAAATTAATTACCATCCTTCTTGTGCATTTGCTCCCGCAAGATTATAACAATTGTCTTCTAATTCTTATTTCTAAGTATGTTTGGATGCTCTTAGTTGAACCTGGTTTTCTGCTGCTCTACATGGATGTATCTTGTTGCTAATCATGTATGTGCATGGATGTATCTTGTTGCTAATCATGTATGTACATGCATGTATCTTGTCTTTCTACATTGCATTTTGTCTACTGGTTCCTTCTGTGAGATTTTTTTTTCCTTTTTATGTTTTTGGTTTGGATTATAACCTCATAATTTGTTATCTTTTTTTTTTTTTAAATTTTGATTTTTTTTGTAGGCAATTGACCCTAGAACTCGGATGGTGTTATTCAAAATGTTGAATCGAGGTATTTTCCATGATATCAATGGCTGCATTTCAACTGGAAAGGAGGTTAGTGCCAGGCTCCTATAGAAGTATAGATAATGACCCTCCTCATTCTTTAGCAGTTTGGTGCAGGGGTGAATCTTGGGCTTTAGCTAGATATCCATTTTTAGCTTCTAATATCAAGTTACTTTATAGCTTTGTTTAAAAAAATGGTTCAAATCATACTTGCAAGGAATCGAACTTGTGACCTTTTTTGGTAATACAAGCAACTAACCAACCAACCTGTGTAAGATTTTGTAAATTTTTCTTTGGCTTTCACTTTTAAGGTTAAATGGTGCCATTGTTTAAAATAATTTCTCGGTCCGCTTCTGGCTTTAAGGTGTGTATCTTTTAAGATGTGGAAGAGAATTATTCTCGACTGTTCAAACACGGGTGAGTGATTTTTGTGGCTCATCTTCTCTTAACATTAATTGGTTTCTATCAAACAGGCAAATGTTTATCACGCTACGAGATCTGATGGTCAAGAACTTGCGATCAAAGTGTACAAAACTTCTGTTCTTGTGTTCAAGTACGTTCCATATGCTCAGCCTTGTAACTGTAACGGGTTATCTTACATCATCTGCCTTTAAGATATCATGTGGTCAATTGATGTCTCTAATTCATGTACATTGTTGGTGCAAGGCTTTTGTAATGGACACTTTTATGTTGTTGTAGTGTATATTTCGATGATGAATATGTATTGGGCATATGTTCCTTCACTTGTGTGGTGTGGTTCACATTCGTTTTCTTAACTGTTCATTTATTTCAAGCTTGCATGTGTGAATTTGATTTTCAAAATGGCCTTGCAATATTCCATGCCTTGGCCATATGTTTATGATATCTTTGTTGTTGACAACTTCTTCAGGGATAGGGATCGCTATGTACAAGGTGATTATCGCTTCAGATATGGATATTGCAAGCACAACCCGAGGAAAATGGTTAAGACATGGGCTGAGAAGGAGATGAGGAATCTTATGCGGTAACATAATTTTCTTTTCCATGCTGCTTCCATATAATCTCGTAACTTTATGTGGCTGCCAAAATTGGATATAACTATTGCTAGTTTCTGTTGGGAATTGATCCGTGTGACCCTGCTAATTTTTAAGGTCCAGTTTGGATTAAGAAAGCTATTAAGATATACATAATCTGGGTGCAAAATTTGAGTCTATCAAGTCCTGTGTGGTCCATAATGTTTGTTGTCTATACTGTGAAATTTGATTAATGCCGCTCCATTATTTATTAGCTGTTCAACAGATGTTTATAAAATACCAAAGCTATACAATCATGTATGGTGACAATTGGTTAAGCAAAACCCTGCCTCGATTTGTCACAAACAATGATATATAGAATGGTTGTTTTAACTAGACATGAATGATAGGTCCCTTTCCTTACCGACATCCCTCTTTCCATATTTGCTAAATGGCTCTAGTTTCGTGGGATGCTATAATTCTAATGACCTTTCATCTACAGACTGAAGACAGCTGGAATTCGTTGTCCCACTCCAATTCTTTTGAGGCTCCATGTCTTGGTTATGGAGTTCATAGGTACATGGTGCCATTTATGTTTTTACTGATATGTATATGGTATGCTATCATAATGATCGCTATAATTTCTTCCCTCTGTTCCAGAATAAATACCCACAATGAAAAAGACACTGTTTTAGAAATATGTAATTATTCCACTTGAACTAAATGACAATTTTACGCATAACAAATAGAGGGAGTAATGAATTTCTCCACCTCACAAGTCATAATTCAGAATAGAATCGGAAAATAGGCACTTACTTTTGAAAGTGGACACTTATTTTAGGACAAAATAAAATAGGAATTTGGACACTTGTTTTGGCAGGGAGGGACTGGCACCATGTTTTTTTTTTAGTAACTGGTAAGCTTATACCTTGTGACAGACAGTAAGGTCATGGGTTCTGTCTGTGGAAACATCCCTCCCTACCTTGCATATCCGAAAAGTTTTTCTCACTGTGGTTGCTCTTGGCTTTTCTCAGATAGGGTTTTGTCTTTTTTGTTGTTCTTTACTTTCTGAGCAAGAAGGCTTTGATAAATTTCATTAATAACCCGATTCTTTTCCTTTTAATAAAAAGGTCATGGCTACTGATAAAATCAGACTGGGAAGTTCCCTCCCAGTTTGATCAACAGGATTAGTAGCTGTCAAACAAATAGGGTACTTGTAACAGAAAGTCACAATCTCTTGTTACCCTAATGGCATGATTTTACGTCTTTTGGAACATCAGATTTTGGTTTTTTCAGTTATTGAAGTTTCTTGGTATCTTATATCTTCAGGCAAGACAGGATGGGCTGCACCTCGACTTAAAGATGCTGCACTGTCTCTTGATAAGTTACGGGAAGGTTATGTTGAGGTAGTTCGAGATTTTTTTTACTACCACTCCATCTCAAATTAAATGTTCACACAGAAAAAGGCGCACAGTTTTAGAAATGTGTAATTATTACACTTTTGAATGGACTGAATGACCATTTTATCCTTAATATTAGAGGGGGTAATGAATTTCTCTATCTCATAATTAAGGGTAGAATTCAGAAGTAGGCACAAAGTCACAAACACTTTCTTTTTCGGGATAAACTAAAATAGAAATTTGGACACTTATTCTGGGATGAAACGAATACCATATACTTTTCCAGTAATCAGTGCCGAACGACGTCTTGGATATATCCCCCTGGTTGAGAGACCTTCGTCCTTTTTATTCTCCAAATTCTTTCTTTTTGTCAATTCTCATCTTCACTTTGCCTTAACTACTTTTTAGGTCTATTGAACATCATTAAACCTTCTGTTAACAACTCTCTCATCTGTTTCACAACTTCTTCGTGACAGATTTTACATCCTCTTCTCTGTTTAGATTGTTAATCAATACAAAGTCCACTTGAATCCATCATCCAATTGAACAGTTGGTACTTAAAAACATTAGTGAGTGTAACAATTTGTTGGCATCTTTTTGTAGATGATAACTATAATGCGGGTACTATATCAAAAGTGCAAGCTAGTACACGGAGATCTTAGTGAGTACAACATACTTTACCATGAGGCAAGACTTCTTACTTATATTTTTTATATTTTAGTTTTTCTACTTGAGCATGTTTTAAGCAACCAACATCACATGATTATTGGTATTTCTTGCCGCAGGGTCACATGTACGTCATTGATGTATCCCAATCTGTTGATCTGGATCATCCTCATGCACTTGATTTTCTGAGGGAGGATTGTGTTCACGTATCAGTAAGTTGCTTATAAAAACCTTGTTTTTAGATCAGTAATTCAGTAGCACTAAACCTCGAGGCCAGCTCAACCGGCAAATAAAGGCTATAGGCCTTCGGGCTCCTCCCCATAGGTTGCCGGTTTGAGTCTCCTCAGGGCTACTGGTAATTTTCCTGATTTGTTATCTTCAGCAGGCGTGAACCTAGAATTTTTTTTCAAATGGTGGCGCCATTTGATTACAAAAACAAAGCTATGGATATTTTTAACAAAATTATCATTGGTCCGTTGGTTAGTTCCTTGCTTTTTGTATATGAAGTCCTCAGTTCTAGTCTTTTATCCCAATTCTTTTCAGAAACATAATAAACCTGATAAAAACTAAGAAAATGATACAAATGGGTTTCGAACCCGCTCCTATAAGGGCTTATGTAGTTTTAAGAAATATATGGTTGCCTCTGACAAAATAAATATGGTGGCATGTTTCACGACTCTAAAAGTTTTTACACTATGACGGAGGAATGAAGCGGTGGCCCGTGCCACTGTATGGACCATAGTGGGTCCCCCCTTATCTTTAGGGTCCTACAGGATTAGTTGAAGTGCGTGCAAGCGGGCCCGGACACTCACGCTTAAATTTTTTTAGCAGTACTAATTAAATCAATGCTGTTGTGCGATGTAGGATTTCTTCAAGAAACGTGGAGTAGCTGTCATGACAATTCGTGAGTTGTTTGATTTTATTGTTGATCCGGCGATTAATGATGATTCTGTGGACGCTTACTTGGAGGAGGTATGTTTTGGATATTGTAATACTGATCACCTTTCACTGGTTGCTTTTAAGAAACTATGTTACATTATTCATCGACGTTAAATTGTTCAGGCTCAACAAAAAATATTGGCCCGAGGTGATGAGATTTCTGTGGAGGATGAAATTGCAGATGCTGTTTTCGTTCAGGTGTGCATGACTAGTAACCTACATGTTCTCATCTTCATGTTATTATCTACAAGAAAGATTTTTGGTTAAAGAAATTACTTGCTTTACAATTTTATCTATCCGCCAAAAACTAGTGATGATAAAACGCTTGTGCTCGAGATCCCAACCTAGTATATCCCATTCGCCTGTGGGTCCAGAGAGGGTGAGATGTACACAGACTTGACGTAGAATGGTGGTTTTTGTAAGCATGAGAACTCGATCATTAGTAGAGGTGCAAAAGGCCTGGGTTTTTTTGGGCCTGGGACTTCAATCTCGTTTTTCAGTGAGCAAAAAAAGGCCTGGGCTGGGATTGGGGGTTGAAAAAGGGACTGGGCAGGCTTTCAGGCCAGGCTTTTCCCAGTCCGGTCCTGCCCCCAAAATTTTGGCCTGATCAGGCTTTGCGACTTGACCCAGACCGGGATTCGGGCTTGGGCTTTTGTGTGATCTCTAATCATTAGCCTCCGTTCTCGTTTTTGTATATTTCAATCGTGGTTCCGACATTTGAAGGTGAATGGAGACGGCAGGGAGGTTCAAATAGAAACAGCAAAAGGTCGGAAACTTGGAAAAAAATCTCAACTGTTAGATGGATTTGATCCAAGGGATATGATTAAAAGACCCCCCCTTTTATTTTTTAACCAAAAATAGATGAAATAAAATAAACAATGGAGCCACACAAATTATACCAAAAGTGAGCTTTTTATTCTCTTTAGTTCGACATCCATATTGTTATACTTTTTCATCCCTTTTTTCCGTTCATGTATCCACATTTCCAACCGTTTTGCCGTTTCCATTTGAATCCTCCCCCTTAAAGTAGAGACGCAAAACGAGAAAACGAGAGAATCAATTTGAAGTCGGTTTCTTTTTCATTGAAATCAGTTTTTTGTTTCGATTTGTTTAGTCGTTCATCCCAAAGACGCTGGATAACGTGAAGAATGCCGAAGAAGACGTAATACGACTAACGAGTGGGCAAGACACCGGAGATATGTACTATCAGACTATTACAGGGCTCAAGCACGCTCTTTCGATCGAACAGCAACAACATCATGAAGCCAATCTTCAACAAGACTCCCCTGCCGACCCAAAAGAACCTTCCGACTTGCAGGATCATGAATCAGAGACCGAAACCGATGAAGAAAACTCCGAGGATTCCGAAGACGACACATCTTCTTCCGATGATGGAAAACCGACACCTCTTGAGAAAAAGGCAGCGAGAAAAGAGAACAAGAAGAAAGTAAAAGAAGAGAAAAGAGAAGCTCGAAAAACTAAAGTGCCGAAAGCTTTGAAGAAGAAAAAGAAGAAGCTGGCAAAGGCAAAGAAATATCGATAGAAACCGTAAATGATCGGAATCTGCCGGAGTGGCATGGACGAGGACTGGTTAGGACCGTAGTCAAACCGGTTTGAACTGTTATCCCGACCGGTTAGGACCAGGACCAGGACCAGGACCAGATGGGGGGCTAAGGACTTGGTCTGGTTCTTTTGTGTTACAATTTTGCAGGAAGATTTTTTGTATATTGTAGGAAATCTCAAGGTATTTTGTGTTGTGATGAGTTTCTTTGCCTGTTTGTTTACTTTTACCGATGGGATCATATTTGATTGGAAATGATGATTTCAATTACACTTATTTTGTAAATGAGTTATATTTTATTTTATTTATTTATTTTAACCGTGGGTGTTTGAGCCAGCTTACGTACATCTCGACTAATCTTAGACACCTTGGAAAACAATCAGGAAAATCCTGAGTTGTGTGCCTCTATCCAAGTTCTTTTCCGGGCTTAATCAGGCTTTTTTGGACCGGGACTGTCTTCATAATTTCGGCTTGATTGGACTTAAAGTTTGTAATGATAATCAATAAACATATAAAATTGTATAAATTCAAACACTACAATATTTTGAAGGGTAAAATATACAATTATATAGATTCATACATCTATCAATTTACAAAAAAAACAGTCTTATTGATTTTGCTCTCACACTTTAGCACCTCTCCTTATCAATCATAAGTGAAGTTAGACTTCAGACTTCAATAAATTTTAAAAAACAAACAACATAGTGTTTTTGATGTTTTTTAGTAACAAGAGTGGAGTTGCTCTCAGACCATCTTTAATGGAGACACCAAATCTTAATCGAAGTTTTGATTGTCAAAAAAATTTGATGATAAAAAGGGAAAATTAATAGAAATAGTCATTTTAGCTTTCTACATTCATCTCTTAGCCATTTCTTTCTTAAATTTTTTAAAATGTCGCTAGTTCTGTAAGTAGCAACTGCTTAATTTATGAAGGGGTCAAAATGTAAAAATATGAAATTTTGGAACATACTATGATAATACATGAATCAAATCTGTAAATTAGTCCTGTTACTTCTGGGAATTTCGTGGATGGTGGAATTGTCACTTGCGGACCTTTAACTAATTTACAGATTTGGTCTTTGTATTTATCAGTATAAATTGAGGAGTTGTTGGTTGTTTGTTTATCTCTTAATAGTTTCGTTAAGTGAAAAACTCTGAATCGTTAAAAGATGAATCTTATTTGAGAAAAAAAAAAGTTTGCGTCTTGCATTTTGGGTCTCCCCATTGAGCACCCTAATTTCATTCTAAACAATTACTAAACAATTATTTTTTATTTTGCACTATATTATGAAAGTCTTTTAATCATTATTTACCAAACCATTCAACAATTATTAAACATGTTGGTGGTGATATTTTAAGAAAATGGAAAAAATTGCCTAAATAGTAGAAACCGGTATTTTTGTTAATTTTCCTAAATAAAATCCATATTATTATTTTTGTTCAGGTTCGGAGAGTAAACTTCAAGCACAGTGCAAAATGGCGAATTCTATGGATGTGCAGCCGGAAACCCTAGAGGAGAACCGAGACGACGATCATCAAAACCCTAGCTACGACATCGAAGCAACACATGACTTCGAAACACTGGCTCGATCATGGCTCTCCTCGCTGCCCGCAGACAAGTCTCTAAACCCTTCTGACGTCGAAACTTGGCTTCAATCCAACAATTCCTCCTTACCCGATCACATCAAATTAATGCCTCCATCAGATGTATACCAGATGTTTCTTTCGTTTTTAAACGATGGAACTCCCTCCAATGAGGTAATCTCTTGATCTTCCACACTGTTTATTAAGTTTTCGGTTTAACCAACATTATAATTGTATGATCACGTTTGATGCAAGCAAATTATTCGCCATTGTCTCAAATTAGGGCTATTTTGTTGTTTTTTGAAGTCAATTATAAAATTCAGTTTTGGAGATGTGTTTTTTTTTTTTGAATTTGTTGCATTTGATGTAGCTATGAAGTCCCACTTCCCAATAGGAGTAATCCTTTGGCTGTGAATGTTAAATGGATGAACTGTGAATCTTCGAGAGTCTAACTGATGATTAAATTTTTTGTATCAGTTTTTCAATTAATGAAGGGTATGACATCAAAAATCAATGCAGCCCTTTTCATGAAGCAGAGGGAGTACCATATTGTTCTTTTTGTTTGCAAACTTCAAATGAATTTATGTTCATTCCAAATAATTGGGCTTGTAAAACACAAGGTCTTAAATGATGTGAGGTGTGGTGGTAAGGTAAAGCCTTAGGAGCCACGTGACTTATGGCGGCAAATCTCTATATCGTATAGACTATTATATGTATGTATACACACATACATTTTTCACTATTACTCGACGAGTCAATGATATTACACAATTTAAAATAGGTTATACACTAGTAAGACACTAAAACTGTATAAAAAATCAAATAACACCTTACAAAAAACCGCACATCGAGCCATGGGTGTCCCACGGGATTAACGTGGCGTAGGAGACGAGCCTCTTTAGAACAATTTGTAAAAGTGAACCACTAAAATCAAATGAATCCGTAGTTGCAAAAACAATACCATGTTAAATGACATTTCATGTATAATATGGTTACTGTATTGATAATGTTTTATGTTTATTTTCTTCTGGTAGGAAAAAGATCCTAATCATGCTCGTTTCCAGCGCACTGATCAGTGGATGCCAATTTATTCATGGTTAGAGTCTTTAAAGACGGACGAGGTAATTAAGTCAAAAGAAATAATAGATTGGCTTACCGAGAATCCAGATGTCAGGGACGATTTGTCTGCAAGACATTCTCGTTACCATCTAATGCACTACATTAAAAAATGCCACATGAAAATACTGAAGAGAAAAGAAAAGAAGAAGGTAAAGTAATTTTCTCATCTCTCTTTTTTTTTCTGGTCACTTAGTGCTACATATATGCCTGCTATATTGGCATAAACCACCTATTTTTTGGACATCATTCATCATCATGTGCTGTTTTACCAGGGATGATTATTTGTATTCTTATGAATGATGCTTCATAGTTTCTTAGATCCTGTTTTAAGCCAAATCCCAATCCCGCAAATCAAAATGGCTCTTAGTTAGATTCCGTTTTCTTTTTAAGTGGTTACCCTGAACCCCACATCAGTTCTGTACATTCAAATTGTAAATGATAAAACTTCATGGATTTCCTTCTGGAGTAGTAGCAGATTAATCAATCAAAAATTTGTAAAAATTTAGGACTGCTTTGACTATATGAAAGTAGAAGTACAAACCCAAAGAAAGATATGTTACGAGAACGATCTTCAATTCACCCTAAGGAAATTCTTTTACTTCCTGTAGTTTCGCCGCTAGACCAACATCCAGATTTGATTCCAGGATGTTTTTTGTTGCATATAAGTAGACAGTTTGAGGGGGACTAAAAATGATGTAAGAGAAAAAAAAATGAGAGGCTCTAGTTGGAAAATTTATAAAGTGATGCTCACCTTTAAAAGAGTTCTTTAGAAGCAATGTTTCAATAGTATCGCCACATAGGTTTGTTCCTTTTTTATTATATAATAGCTACACGGAATATCATTTTTATCTCACAGAGGCCAATAATAAATTATAGGACCTCATAGCTTAAAACTTGATGGATAACATATGGACTAAATGAAAAAGAAACAAGAGCCTGTTTCTGAATGTAACACCCTTCACTGTGAGTAATACCACACCATCTAACATGAATTCTCCATAAATAACTCCAAATATAATGGCTAAATTGAAATCGTCTACAACGGAAGACTTGAAACACAATAAATAATGTAACTTAAATGCTAATCCGTCCCATACAGGTCATGTTACATTTGAAACCAAATAAATAAGTCTAAACAATTTAAACGACTTAAATAAGCGGTAAAACTAAGCATTCTTCTTGTCCTTGTCCCACATTGAATTTCCTGTCCTTGATATGCATGCTATAGTCATCCTATAAAACTTAGTGAGTTCATGGGTTGCATGAATAAATCCGTGTCACAACATACATATTAAACACGTAAACTCTATATAAAATAATATGCAATTTCATAGAAAACACGACACTGAAAGAAAAAGAGGTCTCATAACTGCCTTGGTGGGTATGGGTCATTTTGTCACTGACATTCTTTGGGTTGACCGGTCTCTGATTAATGGATGATGTCATTATTGTGTGACTTACTGGACAAATGTCCATCCCTTAAAATCTGAACATAACAATGACATATGTAATATCATGCAAAAATCGTTTGAAAACATTAAACGCATAGCATGCAATTACTCATTTATAAAATACACTACAACATGTATTTAAACTGAATCATGATGCATAGCATCATATCATGCTCAAAATAAGTTTGTACATATGCATGCATCTCATTGTAAGTCTCATGAAGACTCACCTGACTGAGAAGGTTGCTTAGTGGTAACATCTGACGGATAGCCTACAATTCATAATTCACCATAGACCATTAATACCAATTTTTCTCCAAAAATCAACTTTAGAGTCAACTCATGGTTAACCTTTAAGCATAAGCTAGGCAATAACCTTTACTTTTTATTTAACGGCTTTATAATTCGCTAAATTCCTCTCCTTGGCTGATGGTTCGACCTTCGTCTTGACAGCAGTTCTTGTTGATCCATGTGAAACCAGATACAATACAATAGGGTACTGCTATTTACCAAGTGGTTCTAAAGTTAAACCATAATATGCTGCTTAGTTACAATCCAATTACCACATACATGCAAGTACATACGGCAAGAATCTAAGCATATAAATAACTTAAATCCCATTTTTCTTATTTCAACCTCTGAAACATTTTTGGCTTGTTTGGCCTCGTTTCTTGGCGGCCATTTTCGTTGATTCTTTTTGCAAAATATAAATGAAACATTTTTGCTTAATTCTAGAAGCGATAATCATTTAAAACCACCAAATATTGAGCTAGAATTTTGCATTCAAAGTTCCAATTTTTTAAACCTCGAAAATATCGATTTATACCGTTTGTCTAAATTGATGGCCTTCCGGCCATCCAATTGACCCCAAATTGGATCTGGACACACTGGGTGTATAAACCAAAGATATCCTACAATTAAGTCGTGAGAATGGTTAGGGAAAACCGACCTCAGTTCAATGAAAATCGATGAAACGCTTGATTTCCTTCGACAACCGAGAACTCATTCACCCTTGCACCAACTTTGAATTTATAGTCTACTTGTTCCTTGGAGGCTGGCATACAAAACTCTAGAAGGGTTGGCCGAATCATAGATTTTATAGGGCCATTTTGGCTATTGGAAGCCAAAATGGCAAGACAGGTCCCTCCATTAGTCCCTTCTATTCTTATCTTTCAGAAATGGCAAGACAGGTCCCTCCATGCGTTTCTTTTTACATTTTTGATCCACAATGCATTAACTTCCATTTTTGTTTTATTTACTTTCTCTTAATGATTTATTACATTTAGTTAATGACATAAATAACATAAATGATACCTCCCAACTGTTTCCTCTATGATTTTGGGTCTATTATTTATTTCCTTGAGTTTGGGCATTTATTTCATAAAATCTAGAGTGTTACACCGAAGAGTGAAGATGGGTCCATATTTGTACTTAACCTTATAGACATGTATGTAGAAAGAAGGTAACACCATGAAAACAAAGGACCTAGTGAATTCTAAACACCTTCACAAAGGCTTGTAAACTAGAATTAGGCAAAAATCTGATGCACATTCATCATATTGATAAAGAATCAAAAAATCACACTCTCTACAGATGGCTTTGCAATCAATTCTCTGGCTTTCGAGAGGCCAGTCTCTCCACAGACTCACGTCCAAAGGGTTACAAAACAGAATGCCAACCTATTGGTCCCTCACGACCTATTTGTACTAGGCATATGCATTACCTACTTGTATGCCAAATGCAGTAACTACTTGTACCATTACTAGCATAGGGTATAACAAAATCCCACACATTTTTATTTCTTTGTGACAAACTTTAATTTTAATCTGTAATGCTGGCCTGAGATATCTTTCATTTGCAGGGATTGCATACTACCATTAAAACAAGTTCTCCAAGGGCTCAGAAGACTGAGGAAAAGAAATCACTAGTTGTTCTTCCAAGTATGTAGCCTGCATTCTTGCTGCACGTTGCTTTGACGACTTCTATATTTATCTTACAAATTTCAATTGTGCTTAGTAAATGAAGTTAGCCGATTGGAAACCATGTTAACTGTCGTAATTTCAACCGCCTTATCAGTGTGTAGACCCCCTTAGGGATTGGTTTGAATCAATGTTCTAAAAGGCTCACTTTGGCTCAAAGCTTGTCTTTGATGCTATGTTAAGCCTGTGGCACTTGTAAGGAGTTGATTGATTTTTTTTTACCTTTTTAGGGTCTAACTTTTTTAGTTTTAGTATATACCCTAATTTAGATTGTTCAATATTATTGAATAATTGAGTAATAGTAGAAAACATGTGTATGTATAGGGGCTTAATAATTTGAGAACTCCATATATTGTGATAATCGTAAAAACTTTTATCTTAAGGTATTGTTTCACATGGTTTTTTCTCATCTAAGGCTAGCATTTAACGTGTTAATGAACATATATTTGATTTTTTTTCATTATGTTTGCTTCATATGTATGCGGTTCACAATGTGAAACTTATTTACATGTAACTTTTGTTTCACAAACAGGCAAAAAAAGGTTCCCATTGTGAAACAAATACATGTGAAACATATATATGTTAATCGATATTCTAAATCCTAGTCTCAGATGACAAAAAAATTATATGAAATAGCATATGATACATTAGTTCTCAAGGTTATCACAATTTCATGAGTTCTTAAAAGAAGGTTCCTCTATATATAGTTATATATATCCAATATGCACATAAGTCACGCCTCGTGCCATTTAGAATCTTGGTTTGAATGGGTTCTTGCTCCCCTCGGTTCCATTTTTCTTTTCCTTTTTGCATCAGTTTCCTATAACTCCGCTGATGACTTTCTTGGTCTACACTACACGGATGATTATTCATTTTCTGTAATACCATGCAGACTCTACACACCAAGAAATCAGATCTTTCCTATAATGAAGTAAACTCTTATTTCAATAGTTACAAATCTAGTCGGCGTTCTTCTTGTATTACTTTCCCTTTAGCTATTTGAAAATGATGCCTCTGTGTGGGGTATATCGGGTTTGTTTGATTTGGTTTTGTTATCTGAAAATGATTGTTCGATGGTAAAAACAGAAGTAACGCATTTCCTGTTTTTCAATTTGATAAACTATCTGGTTATTATTAAAGCAATTTATTATAAAAATAACTTCGCAAGGACAAAAATGTCATTCATGTCACCACTATAGTTCCTTTCTTTAATAATTCAAGTTAACTGAATTCCTCACTTTACCCTGGCCATTATAAGAGGAGTTTATGGTATACCTGATTACATATGTTCCTAAGGTAGATATAATGTGTATGATATGATGTCAAAGGACACAATTCACTTGAAGCATATTAGCTCCCACCCATATATGATGTGTATATATATAGGGGGGTTCATGTGAGAACCACAAAAAACTTGAGAACCATGAGAACTTGAACATTCATTGATGCATATACACTAATGAATTTCCATGAGGATATGCTTCAATGCATAGTTCTCAATATTCTCGTATTTTTTGTGGTTCTCACATGAACCTGAGCCTATAATCTATATATATATAGAGAGAGATAGAGAGTGAGGTCCAAGGGAAAACCCTCCAAAAAATGAAAAACCGAGGAACACCTTAATAACCATTCATCTATATGGTATGCATATGTGCATACAAGTAATTAAAGATGTTTCCTGGTTTCTATGCACATGTGTATACTGGAAAATTTACTTACAAATTACTTGTATCCACATGTGCATATCTTATAGATGACTGATTACTAGGGTGTTCTTCAGTTTTTCATCTTTTCCCTCCTGAACTTGACCCAATACATATACACATGTGGATAAATCTTGATGCTTTATATGATTATAATCATGCATTAATTTCTAGGAGTTAAGGTAGCATTTGCCGCCTAACTTGGTACGGGCCTACCGGGCTTGATATCTAGAGAGACATTGTTTAATTTCTTATGTAGCTTTCCTGCATCTCTTAGTTCAAACGCAGCCTTTTTTGCTAGTATGCATTGCATCTTTGCAGGTAGTAGTGTGATCAAGCTCCAAAAGGATAGTCCGATATATATGGTGAAACGAAATGAAGCTTTCCGGAAATATGAAATGTCAGTTATTTTCATCTTTATACTTTTTTTTATGTTTCATAGAAATAATTCTCGAAATAAATGCAACAATTTCCTTTTTGAAGTGTCCGAATATACATGCAAAATCTCCCGTTTACATATTTTGTCTATGGGTAATGGTAGCCTTGATTTTGTCGAGGTGACTACCTCTATCTTGTCGATATTTTTTGGCATATTTGAGATGTTTGATGAGTACGCACTCGCTTCCATTACAATGCGATTACTCAAATGTTGCATATATATTTTGGGGATAATTACAAACATAACCAACTTGAGATGGGCCCGACCACAAAATGAGACATTTTTTTTGAACTTGTACACACACATACACATACACACACACAGAGCAGAACCCTCTAAATCGTGAGATCTTTGAGGCTGAGCCCTCGACTTTCTGGGAGACTAGGTTCAACCAGTGTGACCCAGGTACCGTTGGACCCCAAAAAAATGGGGTCATTTTGTGACGGGTGCCTTGCCATAATGGTTATATGTGTAATTATCCTTGTATTTGGGATAGACAGTTTACCGATTATGCTATGGAGACTTACTATTTTCATTAATTGTGTTCACAGTTTAATAGAAATGGAGAGACAACTTACCACCATCTTTGAAAAGCCAGAAGCTGCTGCAAATGTGGTTGCAGGGCCATGATGATCATCATAAGTTACAAGACACCGACAACCGCCGTTTTTATAGGTAACGGAAAATGTACCCCCGTAGGAAATTTAGGGTTTAGGAAAACAGTTTCTTTTTTGGTAACCGTGGGTGTCCTGACCAGCTTGATCACACCTTGCCAAATACCATGGGGCCCATAAGATAACAGCCAGAAAACCGAAAACCCAGTGAACTTGAGGAGAACCTAACATTTATTTGTATATAAATATGATTTACTCTAGAGAGGAATCGAAGGGTTACATTCTCCACCTTCGTTCGGTTTATTGTTCTGCAAGCGAGGTACGAAAGATAACGACCAATAAAGTGTGTCGTAAAATCATAATTGACGGTTTTGGTTTTGAATGTCAATTTGACATTAAATGGTTGATCTTGTACATTTACTATCGATTTTAACTTGGTTAAAGTACGAATAGAATTTTGTAATTTGTATCTTGACGATTAGACGGGGTGTTTGGTTGGGGGTAATAAGGGATGGAGAATGGAAATAGAAATCGTTAATGGTGTCTGGTTTGACGTAATATAATGGGTAATTCGACTCGTTATCATATATTGGGTAATAAAGCAGATGACATTTCTATTTGTTGAAACATGATAAGATTGATAAATTACTAAACTATCCATGTTAAATTAAATTTAAAAACCTTTCCGGTACGTTTGGTATGGTAAGACAGAACATACTGATAAAATGATTAATTTACCTCTAATGAGTTGTTTATACCGTTTTTATGTGATAAATAAATTTAAAGAATGTATAAAATCTAAAGAGAGATTTTAGTAGAAAATTATATTTTATTTTAAGGATATATTGGTAAAATATAAGTTTGTTCCACTTTGTTTCATGAGGTAGGGGTGGAAGACGTCTATTTCACTTTGTTCTATTATGTTCCTGTCTGTCTTGCATAAAAGTTATAACAAACGTGGAATAGTGATACTTGTTTAGTTCAATGTATCAAACACACCTTTAAGTATTTCTTTTTCACCCGCTAACAAACGCATCTCAACAAGGGTTGTGACATAGTGGTTGAGGTCATGGGAGATGTGAAATATCCCACTTGCGTAGGGTTCGATTCCTGGTGTGTACACAACAATTATGGCCTCAAAGTTTATCAAGGCTGGTTTTTTGTAGCTACGATGTGTCGAGATCAGTTTAGGTATAACTTGAGACACCCTTAAGAAACAAATGCAACTCAAGGTTTTGATAAGCCAATCCTTTTTCAAAACTCAATTGAACCAAACCCAACTGAATCAGTGGTTGCTTATTCTGCGTTAAGCCAACGAACAAGTTTCGTTTTCTGGTTCTTATACCAACAAAAAGGGAACGTTTTTACCAAAAACTGTTCTCTCGCTTTTTATCCCGTAATTCATACGTTTTTAACTGACTTGTATCGGTTTAATATGATGTCAAAATTTAAACATTAAGCAATGTTGTTCCGTTACAAATATGAATCAAGCAAATTGTATGACACATATACATTTTTTAAAAAGTAAGATAGCTTATGGTTGTAAAACATGGTCGAAAACTATCGATCCTAAACAATCACACTTAACTTCAAGAACGATTTTTATTGAAGTCGACAAAGTTAAGGGCATAAGGTATTTAGAGGCTGCTTGTTACTTAGCAGGTTGATGAGCTTAACAACAATTACAGCTTATTCGGTCAACTATACATGACTGTTTGGTAGTGACTTAATAGTATATAAAATGACTTATTCAGTAAGTTTCTAAAAAGAGATCTTTATACATAAAACCATTTTTTTTTTAAAACCTGACCGTACACGTTAAAAAACACGCTTATTCCATTTATGAAAAAAATCTTGCAAATCAAAACCTATTTAATTTATACAAATAAATTAATCTAAAAAGACTATTTTATCCCTACAAAGAATAAGAAGAAGTTGTGTATGCTTTTCAAAATTTGTTTTCCAAAATATAACATTCAATGCACTTTCGTACGCTTTTTCAAACGGAGATTTCGTGGATTGCCGGACGACTATCTCCGGCCTCATCCCACGAACTGCCGAATCATGCCCACAAGGCGATTATATCAAGCTACCAGTTTATTGGGTGACTTTTAGCTATCACAAGATACTATGTCCATCGCAAAGAGACACATATGACAGCCATATTCAACTTAAGAAAGATCGAAACCCCCTCTTATGTTAGATAAATCAAATCCGTAATTGCATTGTAATTGTATTTTTATACTGATTTTGATGTTATTTACAGGTGGGGGTGTTTCATTATATTGATTTTGACCTCTTCCAGTTATGAGGATGGAGCTGGTACACGCGTCTTTTAACATTCTTGAAACAGTTTCTTGTTTATTAGTTTATTTAATCGTTTCTGAATCTCTTTATTGGTCTTTGATGAAGTAGTGATTTGTAGCAATAAATAAGAAGGGTTCAAGCATGTGCAGACCAGCTGTTTGATAAAATGCCAACAATGGACAATCTTTTCACAGTGTTCTTGTTGCTATCGTCTAAGGCATTTCTTTGGAGGGTTTGCCATGCTTCATCTCACTCTTCTCTTATACGTAACGATCTTGGCGGCCGTTCCATTGACGAACAACCGTTAGCCAAGATCGCGATTTACAAAGCGGTTATTCTTCTCCATGAATCAGCATCCATTCAGGCTGACCCTCTTCTTCTTGGTTTGGAGGTAAAAAAGGTTCATTTCATTTACCGGTGATCGCTTCAAGTTTCCTCTTATATGTTCTTTTTGACTTTTAACACCCTTACTGTAGCCTTGATTATATATTTATATATTGTATGTATGATGACAGGGTGAGGATACTTCATGGGTCAATGTTGAGCTCAAGTACCCAGAACCATCTGAGAATGATTGGGTTGGAGTTTTCTCACCAGCAAAGTTCAAGTATTGTTCATTTATTCGATACCTGCATTCCTTTGCATCATTTATGTCTGCCTGTAAAAATGTTATTTTTTCTTTTTCTGGTTAACTTTGAATATGGTAGTGCATCGGATTGCTACTCTGAATCCGGCGAATGGCCAGAGGCTCCTTACATATGCACAGCCCCGATAAAGGTATGCATAAGAGAAGGGTAAAATGCATCAAAATGCATTGAAGTTTCTGTTGGTTCATATCTAGTGTAATGACGATTTTTTTCCTCAATTAATGTAACAAACGTTCAATTCTTCCTATTTTGTACCCATTTTGACCATTAATGGTAGATTTGCAACTAATGATGACATGGATGCTATTCTAACTTGTCAAAGTTATATTGTAGTTCTTGAGTAAGTGAAAAATGCTACATCAATCAACTGATGCCATATGGAATAAAAACCCGTTTATCTAGTAACATGGGTTCAAAATAGGACAGATTGAACGTTTGCAACATTAATTGAGAAAAAAGAAAATCCATCGTCACACCAAATAGGAGCTAAAGCAAACTTCTTCACATTTTGATGCATTTTGCCCGTAATCTAACTCAGGCTTAAAGAATTAAAGAAGTTTTATATTGTGGATTGTTCTAACCATACTTGTATCATGTGAAACATTTCCTATTCAGTACATGTTTGCAAACCACTCCAATTCCAATTACGTAAAGACAGGAAATGCTACACTGAGATTCCAGATTATCAATCAGCGAGCAGATTTCTCCTTTGCATTATTTACTGGTGGCGTGGAAAGTGTGTGTAAAGTTGCCTCTTTCCACTGTGATTGTGATTTATGTGTATAACATAAATTAGAATATGTTAATCCTACCGTCCCTTTGACTTATTATGTTATTTTGAATACAGCCGAAATTAGTGGCTATTTCAGATCCTATATCATTCGTGAACCCTAAGGCTCCCCTTTATCCACGCCTTGCTCAAGGGAAGGCTTGGGATGAGGTAAGCTTTTTGTAACAATGTTCTTTACGTTTCCTTTTTCATGCATAACCACCTTATCATACATGACTTTCTCTCTTTGTCACACTTTTCACAAGTTGGGGGTCCTCCTGGAAACAACTGCTCTACTTTTTAGGGTAGAGGCCAGGTTTACAGACATCTCACCCTCCCCAGACCGCACCTTCGCAGGGACGGACCCAGGTGGTGCATGTGGTGGCATGGGGCACCGCTTCGTTCCTTCGTGATAGTGTATAAAATTTATAGGGTCGTGAAAAGTGCTACCGTATCAATTTGTTGTGTGCCACCGTATATATTTTGAAACTACAATGAGGACATAAGTTTCCGTTGGTAGAGTTGATTTGCAAGGCTTTGCTTCCACCCCATACCCGAGTTCGGATCCCGTTAGTGTCATTTTTCTAGTTTTTAGCTTTTAATTTAGATTTATGATGTCTTTGAAATTTTTTGCAATAGAAGACTTGAACACATGGCCTACATATGAAAAACAATGAACTAACCAACTGACCAGTAATGGTTTTTTGAAAAATATCCCTATATTTGTTTCTTATAGTCATTGGGTGCCACCACTTGAAAAAAGTTCTAGGTCCATCTATGCACCTTCGGGTGGAATATACTAGGGGCGTCTAGTTTGTTTTTGCTTACTAATCTTTTTTTAGACATAATCTTGCTTCCGGGCATGCATGATCAGAGGCGGACCCATAATTTTTTTAAGTGGTGGCACAATTTAACTGTAAAAAAATATCTATATTTTTTTTTGACAATATTAGTACCAATCTGTTGGTTGGTTTCTTGTCCCTCCATAGAAGAGACCCATGTTTGAGTCCAGGCTACATATCTTTTTTAAAACACAAGAGGTATATAAAATAATGCTAAAATTTAAGCTAAAATTAACAAATTTGACACAAGTGAGATTCAAACCTCGGCCTTTTCTACAACGGTAGAAGCATTTACCATCTCCGCCATCAAAGTCTTGTGCTTAAATTTCAATTTCAAAAACTATATGGTGGCACCCAACAAAATAATACGCCGACACCCTTGACAAACGTACTTTTTCCCCTTACAACAGAACCATGAAGTGATGGCCTGTGCCACCGTATCAATTAATGTAGGTCCGTCCTTGGCATTATGTCCATCCCTATGCTTCTTTGGGATAATGCCATTGTCCTAGAACCTAGGGGGCATGGACGGGCCTAGAAATTTTCTCAAGTGGTGACACCATCTGAGTATATGAAACAAAGATATGGATATTTTTTACAAAATAATCATTGGTTTATTGGTTAGTTCTTTGCGTTTCATATGTGAGAACCTGTGTTCAAGTCTTTTATTGCAAATTGCTTTAGAAGCATAATAAATCTGAAAATTAAAAGCTGAAAACTAAGGAAAATGACACAAACATGATTCAGACCCGGGTCTGGGATGGGAGAAAAGCTTTGCAAACCACCTCTACCAAGGGAAACTTGTGTCACCATTGTGGTTTCAAAATATATACGGTTGCACAAAACAAAATGATACGGTAGCACCTTTCATGACCCTATAATTTTTCATACTACAATTGAGGAACGACGTGCTGGCCCATGCCGCCATATCTATTAAAGTCGGTCCGCCCATGCTAGGGGGTTTACCTGCTCATTTTTGCCTTTTGAGTTGCACTATTCTATAATTCTTCTTTGTAATAATTTTGGCTTATCCAACTAGTTTGCGTGGCTTGTTGTATATGATGTGTTGCTTTTGGTGCTTGTTCAGATGACGGTAACCTGGACGAGTGGCTACAACATTGATGAAGCCGTTCCATTTGTCGAGTGGGGTTGGAAAGGTCATAGCCCAAAGCTTTCTCCAGCCGGAACTTTGACGTTCACTCGTGGCAGCATGTGTGGTACATTGTCATGTCGAATCATATAAAAATTAATGTTTAAGTTGCTATATACGTTCTATATGTATTACATGTTTTACCTTATTGCATTGTCTGCTTGCACCATTGAATCTTGCACGCACGGTAGAGTCCTTATTCTACCTGTTATATTTCCTTATTACCTGTTATATTAGAGCATTTCCAACAGATTTTTTAAAATAGAGAAAATGAAGATTTTGTTCTCTATTTTGCTTCAATAAATTCTCTATAAAACAAAAGAAAACGCCAAGTTTAGAGAATTCTTCAAAACTTGATTTGAGAAGAGAGAGATGATTTTTTTTGTGTTCATTCCCACCAGTGAGATTAAATTATTATTGTTTTATATAAAGTTTTTTAAAACGTGTATTGGGATGATAAATTATAGAATATTTTAAAAATATATTTAAGAGTAAATTACATTTTTAGTCCCTGTGGTTTATTAAAAATTACAATTTTTGTCCCTGTGGTTTAGAAACTGTGTTTTTAGTCCTTATGGTTTGTAATTAATTGCTATTTTCGTCCCTGGACTAATTTCTACCTTTAAAGTACAAGGGACCAGAACAGTAAAGAATTATAAACCACAGAGACCGAAACAACAGCAAATTATAAATAATAAGGACGGAAATAGCAATAAATTATAAACTATAGGGACTAAAATCGCACGTTCTAAACCACAGGGATGAAAATCGAAATTACGAAACCACAAGGGACAAACATCGCAATTTCTAAACCACAGGGACAAAAATCGTAATTTACTGTATATTTAATAATATTGGAGTTGAATGTTAATTTTTTTAAAGATCTTAACTTTTGGTTCTTTATTTTAGTAAAATTATAGAGAATCTCTTACCTATCTTATTGCTTGCTTGCGCACACCTTGCATCATGCACAAGATGGGGGTCTTCACCAAACAACCTCTCCATACTAGTGGTTGAGGCAAGGTCTGCGTACATCCTACCCCTCCCGGACCCTACTTTCTAGTGGGATATACTGGGTTGGTTTGGTTAGGTTAGTACGTCTTTGATAGATAATGCCATCCATAATTATAACGTAAAAATTACTGAAATATGAACATAGTAGACATATTGGGTACATAGATCTTGTACAATCATAAACTTCATGAGTTCTCCATCCAACATTTGTTCCCAAAAGCGATCCATATATGTATGAAGTTCTTGTATTTATGCATAAGTTATAGGGTTGGGTTCTCATGAGAATGAAGTTATGGTGAGAAGAGTAAGAAGGGATCTCCACCCTTGGATCAATCCTAATTGAAGAGAACCAACTAGATCAACACTAATGAGATACACTAGATCAATTCCCTTATAAATTGCAATTCATGGGTTGTTTTGGGATTAAAAGTGATCAAGGGTCCAAGTCCCTTCTTATACTTCTCAGTTCTCACCTTAACTCCTATTCTCACACGATCCTTCGTCTAATTTTCATAATACTTTTGTTTATTTGGTGCTAGTAATAGTTACTTAATTGCACTGCAGGTCCACCTGCACGTACTGTTGGATGGCGTGATCCTGGTTTTATACATACTAGCTTCTTAAAGGAATTGTGGCCAAACACTATGTATGTGTTCTTTGTACTCAGGATTATCCGTAGAGATATGAGTTCTTATATCTTTGCATAATTTATAATACTTTTCCCGTCTTATATTCTCACCCGGATTTGGTTGTGACAACAATTTACAGGTATAATTATAGGATTGGCCATATGTTGTTGAATGGATCGATCGTTTGGAGTAAAATGTATTCATTCAAATCATCCCCATATCCAGGACAAGATTCGTTGCAGCGTGTTATTATTTTTGGAGACATGGGGAAGGTAATACTTGTTGAAAATTGTCTATTACTTCTTGCAGCCCTCATAAACATAAAATACATATCAAAGGGTGGGCCCAGCGGTATCTGGGTTACCGCCAAATCCTAGCCTCCCTGGAGATCAAGGGTTCAAATCCTCACCAAAGATGAGGAGTGTGCGTGAGGAATATGTTAGTAAAAACTAAGAGAACCGATTCACATAATTAGTTGCTTTTACCCCTTAGCATCTACAATTATGCATGGAGCCCCAAAATGCATTCAATATTTGAAAAGGAAAATGTTTGACTAGTAGTTAAATATATCAAGTGCTCCTCAATAAGGACAAAGTAAAAGAATCTAGTGTAACAAAGTTAGTTATCACTATTTTTGTAATAATTACCGATGGGTAAAGAGATAATATTGGATTGAATTTCTTTTTGAGACGGGGGTTGTATTACTTCAATATGATTGTTGTTGACGTTGCTGAAAGAACCTTTTATGGCTCCATGGTGACCATTACTCTATGGGCTTATCCATCTTTCGTGATAGTACAATCTTCGTGTGTTTGGTATGCGGATGGGATCGGACTGGCGAGAGGAAGGTAGGTGGGATGAAAGAATTTGGAACATTTTAGGGGGTTTTAATTTGACATGTGTAGTTTATTAATTTATCTATCTTGTCCCATCTCCTATATTTTTGTTCCACCTATTTTAACGGGACAAAAAATGCATTTTTGTGCCACTTAGTCCTGTCCAAGGGCTGTTTGTTAGCAGCTTAATGAGCTTAATGAGACTCGCAACTTATTCCGTCAGCTATACATGACTGTTTGGTAGTCGCTTAATGTCTTATTCGGTAATTTTTTCCAGAACTGCCGTTCCCAATTAAAAAACACGCTCCTTTCTGTGGAAAAACCCTCCCAAACAAAACTTTCCCAATCTATAAGGGTCTGTTTGTAGCAGTTTAAGGACTCACAACTTATTCGGTCAGCTATACATGACTGTTTGGTAGTGGCTTAATGATATAGAAAGCGGTTTATTCAATAAGCTTCTAGGGGACAGCTTTATGCAGAAAGCCAAGTTTATCACAAACATGCCCCTCCAAATTAAAAACACACTTCTTCTGTGTATACCTTTCCAAACAAAAACTTCTCCAATCTATATAGACAGCTTAATCTATATAGACAGATTAATCCACACAGACTGCTTTATCTATACAAAACTTAATGGAAAACCAACCAAAAAGCTCCCAAGTCTAATGTCACGCTAAACGTGTGACAACAGGTTTTTGTTCTGTCATGTCCCGCATACCAAACACACCCTAAAAGACTGCAAATCACTACCAAATAGGCCTTCTAGATAATCTTCGCGAAATAGAAGAAACTTTTGCTCTAGGAAGATGAAATTTGCATTTACCATTTAAACCATCATTATTGGTTTATTTTGCTAGATTGAGAACTGCTGTTTATATTTCTGCCACACCGTCTTTCAGGCAGAACGGGATGGCTCAAATGAGTATGCTAGTTATCAGCCTGGATCACTCATCACCACAGACCAACTAATTGGTGACCTTGATAACTATGACATAGTTTTCCATATAGGAGATCTACCATATGCAAATGGATTTATCTCACAGTGGGACCAGTTCACAGCACAAGTCGAACCCATTGCATCAGCTAAGCCTTACATGGTTGCAAGGTTTGGATTTTTTATATACTAGTGTCGTATATATATACATACTAGCGTTGTATGGACATGTGCATGCCGTCCAAATGAATCTTACCGGGGTATTCCTCAGTTTTTCATTTTTAAGGGTTTTCCCTTGGACCTCCCTCTCTCTCTCTCTCTCTATATATATATATATATATATATATATATATATATATATATTATAGTTATAAATTCAATAATTTAGTTGAATGGAAAGCTTACTTTAGTTTTTCTTTTCTGCAGTGGCAACCATGAACGATCTTGGCCTAATTCTGGATCCTTCTATGACACCACAGACTCAGGTGGGGAGTGTGGTGTGCCTGCTGAGACCATGTACTATGTTCCTGCAGAGAACCGGGCAAAATTTTGGTAAAGACAACAATTATCTATGAGGAATGTCCCAAAATAACTGCAATTTCTCTTTCTGGCAACATATTTATCGAAAAGTAGCACTTTATCCATCTGTGATTGTTAGATAATGTTGATAGGATGATTTTGCTAGACGAACTTCTTCATCTTTCCATTTTGAGGGTCTTAAATTTTTGGGAAATTATCCAAATAGCCAAGCCCACACCCTCTTCAATTTATAGCCACATCTTCAACTTATTGACCGAAAAAAACGAGATTACGCAAACTTACGCAACTTGCTTAATCCACTTTTTCAATATAACATCATGGAAAAGTAGACATTAAGCAAGTAGGTAAGTGCTACTTGTGTAATGTCTACATGGACAATCTATGTGGCACACACTGCTCAAGCACTTACGCAAGTCTACTTTTTCTGAATATTATATTGAAAATAGTGGTTTACGCAAGTTGCGTAAGTGCTACTTGCATAATGTCTGCTACTTCAATCAATAAGTTGAAAAGGTGGGTATAAAGTGAAGAGTTGGACAATTGCCCTAAACATTTGACTAATAGTCAAACACTAATCCTAAATTGTGTCTAGTCAAATGTTGTATGTATGTATGTAGGTATGTATGTTAGCTTCATCGAAGTTATATCCCTAGTACCCAACTCATATCTGTCTACTTTTAATAGGTATTCAACCGATTATGGCATGTTTCACTTTTGCATAGCGGATTCAGAACATGATTGGAGGGAGGGTTCAGAACAATATGCATGGATAGAGATGTGTTTGGCATCAGTCGACCGGCAAAAACAGCCATGGCTCATCTTCTCTGCTCATCGTGTGCTCGGCTATTCTTCCAACAGTTGGTATGCCATGGAGGGTTCGTTTGAAGAGCCCATGGGAAGGGAACATTTGCAGAAGCTATGGCAGAAATACAAAGTGGACATTGCGTTCTATGGACATGTCCATAACTATGAAAGGACCTGCCCTATATACCAGGTATGTCGTTATTTGTTCTTTTTCTTCCTAAATACTTCCTTTTATAGGCAAGGAAAAGGTACCCTTACAAAAGCATTAGAATATCTTGCTGATAACCAAGTACTCCCTCTGTCCCAGATGAAGTGTTAACATTTCCAAAATAAGTGTCTACTTTCAGAAGTTTCCACTTTTCCATTCTACCTTTAATAACAAGATGGAGAAAGTCTCTCTATTATCAGTGGTAAAATTTTTCATTTAGTTATTTAAAAATGTAATAATTACACATTCCTAAAACTTTGTGTCATTTTCATTGTGGACATATTTTGGGATGGAGGGAGTAAAGGGGAAATAAACAAGCAAACAATCACGGAAACAACCTCTCTACCCCTGTGGGCAGAAGAAAGGTTTGCATACATCCTACCCCAACCCCAACC